AGACTTCCTTTCTCTTCCACCTTTTGTTAGTTTTTGGGTTAAGATGGGTCGATGATGGTTGCCAGTGTCCGGTGAGACCTCTGGGATTCCTTTATCCAATATCACTCTCTTCTTGGCGGTATCTTGAAGTTTTCTATCTCAATTCCTTACACTTTCTCTTGCCTTTTGATTTAGATGGCGATTGCTGATGCTGCGGAGGGAGAGAGCAAGTGGCGTGAATTAGACATGTTGTGGAGGTGGGTTTTATTTGATTTTGTGTTGTGTATTCATCTGTTCATGTTGATCTGTTTAATTCTTTTAATTTCTTGCCGCAAATTATTTTTATAATTCTTTCTTTTCTGTTTTGCAGTTTCCACCTAATTCTTTGGAAGAAGAAACAAAAGGAAACAACAAAAGGAAGCAAACGGATTTTATCAAATTCGGAAAAGAAAATGAGAAAAGGAGAATTAATAGAAGCAAGGGATTCCACAGCTTCAGGTATACATAGAACCAAGCTATCTTAGATCTAGACTAACTCTGGTTATTCATTAATTTTGATTTGCCATGAATGGTTTACATTGTTGAAATGGGAGCATGATTTTCATTTTTATTTGTTTAGATCATTGGTAGTTGATTGTTCTCTCCATATGATTTTAGACTATTTGTTCTGAAATTCATATGGTTGTAATTAAATCTTTTTTGTATTGTTTTTTATTTTAACTTTGAAAGCTTTCTTTTTTTGATAGTTAGATCATATACTGTAGTATTATGGATTCATTTTCATTTGGTTTATGACTTTATGTGGTGCTTGAACTAATTTTAGGCACCTTGGTTTAATCCTTACTGATTGGGTATTGCCTTTACTCATCCATGTGTATTTGTGCTCAACGTTACGTGTGACTTAATCTCATTCATGGTTTAGAGTTAAGTTAAGTAACTATTAATTTTATAAGCCCTGGAGTGGTCTGAAGGGTGGAATTGATTTGTGGACAGGTTTTATGTCCATCACCAACCATTTTAGTTATGGTTTTTTTTTCCAATAAGGTTTCCTGTTTATGGTTTAAGGTAATTAACATATTTGGATTTTGGCCTATATAATTTTATGGATTGATTGCTAACAAGTTTGCCTACTTCATTTTTTATTTTATTTTATTTTTTTGTGTGTTTGCAATTCATCTCAAATTGATTTTGGGTAGTGTTTCTTTATGGAAATTTTTCATGGCTGATTTTGCCAATTGCGTTGAGCTGCAGCTGGAGGTAATTTATACCTGCCATTAAGAAATTGTAGAGGCTTATTCCTTCTTTCCACGGTTAGGATAGTTAAAAGCATGTTTGCAAGTTGTAGGGTGTCAACCAGATTCTTTGGATTAATTCAGTTTTGTTTCTTTTCTTGATGTTGCTTAAGCGGTTAAAGTTGCTAAATTGATGGTTGTTTGTCCTTCTTTGTTGTTACTTGGTTTTAGTACAGGTTTTAAAGGGAATCAAACTGATAGTGAGAGGAAAAGGGGAGATGGCGATATAGGTGGTGGAAGAAGTATTTTGTTTTTATCAGCCTCTATCATCTCCTTTCTCAATTTCCCCCATTTCTTCAATTTTTTTTCTTTTTTTTTTCCTCTATGTTTTATCTCTTTTCATTTTCATTTTTTGGGTTTCTTTGCTTTTGTGAGATTTAAGCACCAGAATAGTTAATAGGAGAAAGACAACCCTCTCACAGTTGCTACAGTGATCTCATTGTCTCATAGTGGGTTTATAAACACCATAACAAACTCTTCTTTTGCTAAAGTTTTTATTTTTGTTGCTTGCAAATAGCTATGGGAGCTTGAATGTGGAACTAACATTCGTGTACATGTATTTTTATTGCTGAAAGCTTTTGACTGTTGCTGCAATGCTCTTTCATTCTGGAGCAGAATTCTTGCATTTGTTCTTTATTATGTGTTACTAGCTGCTTTGTGGAATATGAAGAAGATTAAAAGAATTACGTAGAAATTAAATCTTTTTCTTTCTCTTTTTTTCTTTTTGGGTGGTTTTATTTTCTTTGTATTTATGTGTTCGCAAAATACCTAAATTCACCCCAAAGTATAATGGTAGAGATGTATCTACCTTCAAACAAAAAAAAGGGACAAATCCACTGGACAAATATTTTAAATTTAACGTGTGATGTTATTTGACATCAATAATTTGTTAATTTGACATCATTTGATGTCAACAATCCATTATTAGCGACATAACAAATTAACGAATTACTAACGTTAGATAACATAACACGTTAAATTTGGGATAATTTGTTTAAGTCGAAAATTTTGTAAGTGAATTTGTCTTTATTTTTTGTTTGGAAGTGGATCCATTCCTGCCACTATACTTTGGGGATAAATTTGGATATTCTGCCTTATGTGTTTCTAATTTTAATTTTCTTCATTCAAATGCAATAATTCTAACATAGAGAAATCAGTCCACATCCTAACATATTATTGAGCTTTGGGCGAACAAGGTATGAGAAGATGGACAAATTCTTTACTAATATAAGTGAGGGACATTATCTTCGTGCAAAGGACATGGTCTTAAAACTCAGTAAGTTCAAACTGCCTCTTAAATGGGAACATGTTGCCAAGATTGTAGGTAATGGTGTTGCTCCTGGGAGATTGCATGTTGCTTTAGCTATGGTTGAAGGATGGTGGACCTGTTTATTGAACGTTAAAGTCTAACTAATAGCTTTGTATTTTCTTAATTGCGACTAATGCACATTTTTTTTTGTTTAGAAATTATATATGAGTTGAATTGTAATATTTTTTATGTTAGGATTGACGGAAAGTAATCCAAAATAAATTTAAGTATCAGAACAGAGATCGATGTTTACTATTTTGTATAATAAAATGACAAACACTCGAGATCTTATGTCAATAACAAATATGTGATTGTATTTTTTGATAACTTGAAAAGTTTCCATTGGTGAAAACATACAAAACAAGAAATCCATGAATTTATGAATTCTTATTTTAGTGAAAACTTTAAAACTACCACCTATATTGTATTGATTGATAACTTTACAAACTCTAATACTTATGTCCATTTAAAATTAAACCTAACACTACACCTTCCAACATGGGATTGTCTTCTATTTAAATTTTTCTATAAAGAACAATAGAATTTGATAGGATTAATTAAAATTTTGTATATGTATTACTATAATATAAAAATATAATATATTTTATAACTCTTCTTTTAAGATTCAATATATTACAAGCATTTGAGGAAATTAAGTGGAAAATATTAGAAAGTATTAACTTCAATTTATATAAACTTTTAAATATAATAACTTACATATATAAAGATGTTTCTCATTAAAAAGGTTTTCTTTGGTCTATCCTAAGATGGACCAAACGATACCTCGCAATGCGGGCATCATCTCTAGTCTACCTCTGTAAAGGAGACAGCAGGGATCAACGAAGGATTGAATCAAGTGGTAAGCGGT